CTCTTCCACATGTTCTCCCCCCCAAGTATCGCCTCGGCTATATCGGAGGTCGCCACAGTGGGCTCGTCCATCCTCACTAATTCTAGCCCCCTCCCCGAACCAAAACTTCCCTCAAAAGCCATTTTTCAGAAAGTAAATGTCCCAAAAGTTACTGAAACTTCTGAATTCAGAGGTTTCCCCAGCCGGAAATGGTCAGGAAATGGAGTAAGGTCGTCGAAAATTGATATTTCTCGTCGGAAACGCTCGAAAAACGTCAAAAATCGTGAATGATTTGAGAGCAAAGTAAATTTTCTATTTGCACAAGGATGAAAAGCTTCAAAGACACTCAAAGTCCGCCTTTTATAGAACGCTCCAACTGATCTCTACCGTTGAATTCAAATGCAATCAATCTAGGCCGTCCGTCGCATCATCAATCTAGGGCGTTGAAATGAAACGCCAGATTTGATCTACGCCTAAGATCTTGCTGTGACGCTCACGCTCGCATAAAACGCGTGACCTCGGTCACCACCAGCCGTTGACAATAAGTAGCCGCAGCATCCTTTTAGGGGAATGGGCATGGCACCCAACTGTGACCTTGGAAATACGCAACAGCTGTCAAATCATTTAACGTCAAATGCCCACCTCGGGTCGATCTCCTCACTCAACTTTACAAAGCTTAGACGCACCTGACGCGGAATCACCTGTGGGTCATCGCTTCGGTCGCTGCGTTCCCTCCTAAACTTTACAAAGTTTTAGTCATCTCCCAACGCGTCGTCCCCTGTGGGTCAGCGCACTGGTGGCAGATGGGCTCCTCACTCAACTTTACAAAGCTTAGACGCACCTGACGCGGAGTCCCCTATGAGTCATCACCTCGGTCGCTGCATTCCCTCTTAAGCTTTACAAAGTTTTAATTATCTCCTAACCCGTCATCCCCTGTGGGTCAGCGCAACGGTGGCAGATGGGCTCCTCACTCAACTTTACAAAGCTTAGACGCACTTAACGCGGAGTCCCCTATGGGTCATTGCCTCGATCGCTGCATTCTTTCCTAAGCTTTACAAAGTTTTAGCTATCTCCCAACACGTCGTCCCCTGTGGGTCAGCACACCGGTGGCAGATGGGCTCCTCACTCAACTTTACAAAGCTTAGACGCACCTGACACAGAGTCCCCTGTGGGTCATCGCCTCGATCGCTGCGTTCCCTCCTAAGCTTTACAAAGTTTTAGCTATCTCACAACGCGTCGTCTCCTGTGGGTCAGCGCACCGGTGATAGATGGGCTCCTCACTCAACTTTACAAAGTTTAGACGCACCTGAGGCGAGTCCACTGTAGGTCATCGCCTCGGTCGGTGCGTTGACCTTCTTCCTATGCATCATCCATTCTTGCAGCACTTCAGTCTCACATGAGTAATTGTTTTCCTTACGTAGTAGCGAAGCTTTAGAGCATCTGCCTAAGATCATCGCTTCGGCGAATGCAGAAGATCGGCCCACAAACTCCCACAAGTCACAGTCCACGTACCGAGGCATACACATCCGGTCGGGAAGGCAAGTCCACCCATAATATAAATATTCATACGTGGACTTGGGGGACCAGTGTTACGCCCCTATCTGAACCACCTCGAAATGTCCACCACCACAAGCTCTGATCTATTAGACACCCACCCGAAGTGGTTCAGAAGTGATCCCCCCAATGTAAACGACCTGCTATCACACTGCGAGACATAGGCGATCCTGCTGAATTGACTGAAGCGCCCTCGCCCCTGAGGCCGAGGCAAAGTGCACTCCGAGGACCTCTGTCAGAAGATCCGCCGCCAATTTCAGAAGGAGATCTTTGCCAAGATCCTTTCTGCCCCTAAGGTTTAAATTGATTTGACATCTCCATGAGGCTAGTTGATGTGACTTATCAACTTTATGTCAACTCAAATCGGGAGAAGCAATTACTCGCCTACTCTACAGACGCGGCTGATTGACGTCTATGAGCAGACACCTCATACTGTCAGATGTATACACGTGCTCCACATCCAACGGTTCATCCCGCCTATATATACCTAAGAGTATGAAAATCTTGCTATATAGCACTCCATAGTAAGCATATATATTTTCTCCTCCCCTTTATTATTTTGCACAACTCTTGGGTACTGTTCCGACCACCTGAACCTTACTTGACCGTCGGAGTGTATACGGCCGCCGTCACCCCCACTAGTCCCGGCCGTGTGCGTCTGACCATGCGTTGATTGTGCGCAGGGAGGAATACGTGAAGTAGTTCTAGATTGGCCACGTAAAAGGTCCAATTTTCGGAGTCAACATGTAATATTATTTTATTAAAGAATGCGTGTATGAAAAGAAAGAAAAAAATGTATTTTGAATAAAATAAGAATCGAACAAGGCCTAAAATTTAAATATAACAATTATTTTGTTTAAATTGAGTATATATAATTCTGTTAAAAAAAAAAAGGATTCATCAAATAACATTATTACCAAATTTTGTATACCTCAAAGGAAGAGTTCGGATTAGAATTTTTATAGTTAAAACCTAACAAATGTAGTTTTGGTAAATCTAATAGCACAATCTAAAATGTACCACAGTGGTTGCATTTATAAAAATTCTTTTAACAGGTCACCGGTTTGAAATCCTTTGATCCACGTCCTTATTGAATTTTGGTGAAAATTGTAGAAAAAGAATATTGCACAAAAAAATTACGTAGTAAGGATTCAAAATCAACCATGTACATGTGAGCCCCAACCAACTGAGATACAAGAAATGATTGAAAATAAATGTATTACTAGTAATATAATGTATAACTTTAATCTACAGCCAAAAAAAAAAAAAGTCTCCCGCAGATCCAACAAGTGCGGCCGCGAGTGTTTGCCGAGTGCTGGATCCGCGCCTGTCGAAAGGAAATCAGGTCGAGCTAATGTAGCAAATATTCATTATCAATTTTATGATTTTTTTCTTGTATAGCATCTAAAGGAATTTTTTATTGTGATATATTGGAGTTATGGTAAACTTGAGGTGAAATTTTTCTGTACGATATTTGAGTTTGGTACTCGAGAGATTTTATAAAATAGTAACAATTTTTTAATCTTTTTTCTAAATGTCATTCTATTTTTTTTAGTACCCATAACTCATGACTTATATTTTCTAAATTGGCCACTTGACCTTGATCCCACACTTGAAATAATTTGTAACGGCGCAATCATAGTAAGAGACCTGTTCTAGAAACAATAGAAAGGCCATAGAAAGAGTGGTTTACCTGCACATATAACAACTTACGACATTAAAATATAGAGTTTTATTCATTATTCATATAAGCATCTTCATCAAACATAGTACGATTCATGAATTAAACTGGCAATAGCAATTCATATTAGGTATAACTTACAAAATAAAATGCTAAAACCTAATTTCGTTACAAAAAATGACAGTAAAACAACTAATGAGACATATGAATAGATAATTTCAAAGAAACAGTTGTAATAATGCATAAAACTATTGGCCATATTCTTTTATTTTTCCTTAAAACAAAGTGAATTTTTTAATTCAGGTCTTACTTGATGTCTTTTCATCTTTGAAACATTTTAGGCCGAATTTGAGAAATTCGAGATTTTTAAATATATGTTATCTAAATATTTAAATAAATAGCATATTTAGATTTAGATTTTATACAATTCAAAAGATAGAGTAGCAAAATAAATTATCTCTCACAATCCGAGCATTATGCTAGCAAAATATTTAGCTTTCTAATATTTTGAGATGCAAAATTAGTAATCATCAAACCATTAAAATCAAGTTTTTCAACATATTATTTTCGATATAAATCACAGTTAATCCATTCAATCTCTTTTGTAATATGGTTGATTAAAGATCAGACATAATCAACTTTAACTTTAAAAAGCTTCTTTCATTGGAGGCAATGGTTGGTAATTGCCTCCTCGAGCATCTTATAGGAATTTTCATAGAAATTTAGGATATGTTTGTGTACAACATAGATTAAAGTACGTGATGAACAAAAAATGAATTTCTTTTTTCTTTTATATTTAGTAGTCTGTATTATCAAACATGTCATCATAGTACGAGTTGCCTCGACAATTAACTTGTGCTAAATAAGCATCTAATTCTAGTTTAGAGTTTTCATCTTCAACTTCAAGCTTGGAATCAGCACTCCCTAAATCTATCACTTTCCTTCCTAAACCTTAAGTGCCCCTTAAAAACCAAATTTAATTTAATTTAATTTATTTTATTACTTTTTTTTTTTTTTTTTTTTTTTTTTTTTTTTTAAATTTTACTTTCAATAAATGAATGCTTTGTATGTTTATATAATTTTTCTCGTATCTTCTTATACACATTGAAACTCAGTGATAGAACTTCATAAATCTATTTTTCACATTCACAACCTTCCAAATAAATATTGTTATAAAGCATGTTTTTAAAAGATTAAAAAAAAAAGTCATAAATCCATCTTTAAACAGAGAAATAATTTTATATTAATATTATAAAAAAACTGATTCAAAGAAGTACGTAAAATAAATTTTTCAAGAAGATAGTTAATATCTCTTCTTTTTTTCTTGGCTCCATCCTACGAAATTTCATCATAGAATCTAAATAGGATTTGCATTGTACTCCTATCCTAATTTTAGGCCCTAAGCCATCGTCTAGGTGGCTTTGAAGAGTCTCTAACTTTTAATTGATGTGATTTAATATGATCAAAGCATATTAAGATTTTAATTTCAAGAATTGCCATAATCTATTTATGAAAATTATGCATATATTTGACACTTTGATGAAAACATGCACGGGAGGTGACACATTAAAAAAAGTTAAATAAGGAAAAAAAATTGTTTTTCTAACCACTTAGTTTTTAAATAAATTGGTTTGCATCTTATTTTCAAATGCACTAAAATGTCTAAAACACGTATAAAATATTACCCTTTTCTTATTTCATTGCTTCTAATTTGCATTCTTGTGATTTTGTCCTTTTTCTTCCTTGGGTTCTCTTACTTACTTTCGTGTTGAAACACTTCGCGGGGGGGGGATTGTTAGCCATATATGCATGTATAAATACTTATAATATCTTGCTTATATATGCATAATATCAACCGAAGTTCCCTTTAATATTTGTGTCTCTTCCCATTCTGCAACATGAAAATGGTTGCCTCCACCTCCATCTTTATGTTCATTTTCTTGGTGTATACCAACTTGTACATTACTATATCCAGTCCAGTTTGCCCTCCGCCGGATTGTTCGGAGCATGCAATTCCAATATACAAAGAAGATATAGACATGATACAGTTTGCCCTGAATTTGGAGCATTTGGAAGCAGACTTTTTTCTGTTTGCAGCCCTTGGTTATGGCCTTGATGAGGTTGCACCATATTTAGTAATGGGAGGCCCTCCCCCAATTGGGGCTCAAAAGGCAAATCTTGATTTTCTTACAGAGAATATTATCACTGAATTTGGCTTTGAAGAAGTTGGCCACCTCAGGTCCATTTTTTCTATTTTCATTTTTCCATTTGCTTCAAAACGATGCAATAAATACCCAGTAAGGTTTGATGTAATGTCTAAGGTTTGATGTAATGTCCTAAAATCGAGTATATTAATAATGATAATTACAAACTTAGGAAGTTGACCTAAAATCACCTCAAATCGATCCATTTATGCTCTATATTTAAATTTGTTGTCTGATATATTTTTAGTTATATTGTGCTCGAAATTCCCATATTATATATTTTCAAAGTCAATTTTTAACGAGTAACTACTGAATTCTATCACTTCTTCTCATTAATCTTTAGTTTCTAGTTAAGGTCTATTATGTAGTGAGACAATCAAATTGAATCTTTAGGTTGCAATGGTGAACTTGATAACTCCATTCCTTTCTTTTCTTTTCATAATTTGATGATAAATAGATTTGAAAAAGAAAACGTTTGATTTTTATTTTTGTTTTGCAGGGCCATTAAATCAACGGTAGGTGGATTCCCAAGGCCTCTAATGGATCTTAGTCCCAAGAACTTTGCAAAATTGTTCAATGAAGCATTTGGATATGAACTTAGGCCCCCTTTTAACCCTTATCGTGACAGCCTCAGCTTCATGATGGCTTCTTATGTAATACCATATGTGGGATTACTTGGCTACGTGGGCACAAATCCCAACATCAACGGCTGCGTTACGAAGCGAGTAAGCAACTTTCTTGCTACATAAACTAATATATTTTATCACGCGTCCTTTTTCTAATACGCGAATCAAAATTCGAACAACGACGACTGCATTATAAATTGAATAAGTCACGTCTTCATAACATAACTAACAATTTTTATCACATATCTTTTTCTTTAGGACTTGGGTATGTGAAACACAAATGACAAATCCCAACATCAATATTACATTACAATACGAGTGAGTCACAACTCACAAATTTAATCACGTCTTTTTTTCTTAATTTTGTCGAGTGTTGTATTATTCGACTTACATAGTACACTTCTATGACATGTTTGGTAAAGAATACTCAATTGCACCAAACGTTTTATTATTGTCAATATTGTGTGTCAAAGAAAAAGAAAATTGCTTCTTTTGACGTTAACGTAAAAATTACTATCGAAACTAATTTACTTATCTCATAATTGGTGAAATTTACTTATTTTTACTTGTAAGTGCACGTAATTGACAGCAATTGTTATTTGCTTTCAGCTTTTGGCAGGACTACTGGGGGTAGAATCTGGACAGGATGCATATATTAGAGGATATCTATATGAGCGATCCAAGGAGGTTGTGTTCCCATACAAACACACAGTAGCTGAGTTCACAATCCGACTGTCCGAGTTGCGAAACCGATTGGCAATGTGTGGAGTCAAAGACGAAGGCGTGATCGTCCCACCACAGCTCGGGGCGGAGAATCGGACCATAAGCAACTTATTATCTGCCGATTATAACTCCCTCTCCTATGGGAGGACTCCACCGGAAATTCTCAGAATTGTGTATGATACCGGTGATGAGCACGTTCCCGGTGGATTCTTTCCTGAGGGAGCCGGTGGAAAAATAGCCCGTGAACTCCTCGAAAAGCATGCATAGTATTGAACGTACTATTATTCAATCTTCTTTGCCAAATATATGTGGCTAAAGAAGTCTTGCTACTTTATTTGTTCGGTTACTTAATCAAATTAAAATATTCGCAGCGTTTTTCTCATAATATTAATAAATATCATTTCCAAAAAAAAATAAAAAAAGTGTTAATAAATCAAGCAGAAATGTGTGGAACAATTAATCAAGATTTTATTAAAAGCATGTAATCTGGTAAAATTACTCAAGCTTCGCAAGAGGTCACATAAATGAAGTATTATGCATAATCCTAAAAGAAACAGTAAAAGGGCTCTGAATGGCTTGAGATCACTGTTGTCGAACTATAACTTTCTTTGTCTGCCAGAGCCTATCAAGTGCACTGTCTGCATCTCCCTGCAAAATGGATTTTCCCAATTCCAAAACTGTAAGATCCTAAATCACAGGCATAACAACATAAAAGAGATGATGTAATTTTTGGCATTCAAAGAAAATATAACAAAAATCCCTTTAAATATTTGATTTGTTGGGTCCTCAAATTGACAAATCTTGTACTTCTCAACTGCATAGCTTTCTTTTTCTCGTCTACTAGAAAAATGCAAAGGCAGGAGGAGGAAAACAACTAGGGGTGTCAACGCCCAAGAGCTTCTCTGAACGTTTTGGTCTTTTCGTAATTTTCTAATAACAGGGAAGTGGCCTTCACTGACCACAACCATAAACACTTAAACCCACCTTACACCGAAGGCCAAACTAGAATACTATTTGTGCTAGCACATTATGTAAGGTGGAAATTACATAATTCCAGGTGTTTAAAGATTAGAATTCAAAAATAAGGGACCAAATTTCATTATTCAAAAATCAGGTATGAATATAATAAATATTATCCCTAATTCAATTTCAACCCTAATTTTATTCTCTCTCTCTAAACACATCTCTCTCTCTCTACCCTTCCCTCTGCCATCGCCAATAAGAGTGCCCACCGCCGAAGACACCTAAGAATCGAGCAGCGGCATAGTTGCTGCAGTGCGCCAACTTCGCAGCCGGCGACGTAAGTGAAATCTGAGAGCCTCTCGCCTGATTTGTGAGCAATCTGAGCGCCGCTTCCCTGATCCTGATTTGCTGCAGCTGTCGGAATTTGAGCGCCACTTACCTCGCTGTGGCGAGCGTCGGTGCTGCTACGAGTTAGTCACAGCTTCGGTGCCGCTACGAGCGATCTGAGCGTTGGTGCCTGATTTGCTGCAGCTATCGAAATCTATAGTATGTGTGCTGATTTGTGTGGTGGTGCTGGAGATCGATAATGTGAGATGGGTGGTGCGGTTGGATGCGGTGGTGTTGGCGAAGTTCCGGGTGTGTGTGCTGTGGGTGCCGTGGTGTTGGAAGAGAATCTCGGCCCTTATATGAGTGGCACTTTTTTTGGGTGTGGATGCTGCGATGAAGCTGTGGTTATGGTGTTTTTGTGTGGTAGTGATTTTGTGGTTGGTAGTGTTTGCTAGTGATGGTGGTGCACTGTGGGTGGGATGTGGTGCAGTCGATCGTCGTGTTTTGGTGGTGGTTTTTTTGGTATGTTTGGTGGCGACGGTGGATCTGGTTGTGTCGATTAAGTTGATGTTGGTGCTGGTGTTGGCGGTGGTGATGACGACGGCGTGAGGGTGGTTGCAAGTGACAGTGGAGTTGGTGGTGACTAACTATTTGACCCGTGACTTTAAAATTCGATCATCTGTGACTAAAAAAAGTAATATGTGATTATTAAATTTGAAAATATGTGACCTGTGACTATAATTTTTTGGATTTGTGACCTATAATTTTTTGATATGTAACATCGACATAATCTGTGACTTATCAAAATTGTGATCTGTGACCTCGAAAAAATCTGTGACCAATTAATTTGATGAAATGTGACTGATAAATAAAATCTGTGACCTATAATTGTGAATATGTGACCATGAATAGTATAACAGTGGCTTTATTATCATTATTTAATAAATATTTTTAATTAATTAGCTAAAACCTGATTTTTGCACTAAAGAAACTTGTAACTTGAATTTTGAATTGGGCATAGTTAACACCTGATTTATGAACTCTTCCCTTATGTAAGGCATGACAGGCCCAGACCATTTAATACCTCTAAGTCTCTAACATCATTATTTTAGTATCAAAATGAAGGATTTAATCTAGAGGGGAAAAATGAAGGCTTTAATCTAGAGGGGATAGACTAAATTATTTTTGTTTTACAAAGATTGATTCTAATTACAGATGTTACAAGACAATTAATATTGTGTATCCACATTATCATATTAATAAATAAAGAAATAGTTTAAAAAAGAAAGAGTACAGGAAAATAGGATAATACAATGCATTTGCAGTGGTTTTAGTATTTGCACTCAATAGCAAATCAGCAATAGCATATTTCCAACCACAATTGCAACCTTATCTTTTATAAAACAATCAAATTCCAAAGACATTCAAACAATTACAGGTGAACATCACAGATAACAAGAATTTCTTGAATTTCTTGCTTTACAATGAAAATATATATGATAAATCATAATTAAAAAAAAAAAGAAACAAGAACAAAAAAGACGAGACTGCAGCCTACAAAAGCTGTTCTACAAAACTCAAATTTGCCTTTTGAGTAGATATTATAGTAGAGCTTACATTGTAAAGTAAGCAATCCTAGCAATATATGATATTCAACAGTTATGTTAATATCCTGAAATTTATTCTTTTCGTAAATAGAGTTGTTGGCGTCTTGTTACATAGCTAGTTTCCTGCTGTTGCAGGAATTCCAGCCAACTCAAATTAAAGAGAATTGCCCAAACAGGGTTGATACTGTTGAGCGAAAATATGAGCCATAAAATTTCTTGGAGTGGATGTAGATTCAGTTTCAATCGCACCACTATAAGTCTGGTTTGTTTCTCACTTTCCGTCCTTTGGAAATTTTCTTTATTTATTTGGTTGACATATTGCCTGTGCATATTATTAACACATTCAAGTTGTAGTTTTGGAAAGAATATATCTTTCTGAGTTGTCTGGGAGTCCAACAATCACTCTTTTTATTTACTTATTTATAAAAATAGCATTTTGTACTATATACAGTAACACTAAAAGAATTATGCAATCAAATAAGTAAAACTTCTCATCGATAACTATAACAGAAATTTAAAGCATCGCAATTCCAAAGTGGAAAGAAATGGGCAGATTATTACCTGGGCACGAACAAATCCACAGAGAGCAAAGGTGGAGAACTGGCCAGTGTATCGGCCAGTTTCATCCAAGTGCCCAACGTTGATCTGGACAGATGCATGATCCTTAGAAGTGATCAACCTGTTTGTGGCAGAGCTGCACCACAAAAGTAATTAAATCGGTTAAATATCTAGTTCTAACAAGTCAATGAAGTGCATCTTCAGAACTCGAGTTGTAAAGGGCAAAAATGTATCCGTATAAGAAATATGCCTACCACTTCCTGGGGATGTAGAGATCCATGTTTTGTCCTTCCTCGTTCTGCATCTTGGCTAATTTGTCCTAGCACTCAAGGGAATCACAAAGCTGAAAGCACCTGAATCCACAAAAAACCCACTAAAATATTCAAACAGAAGAGCAATGAATCAATTGTGCCCATCAGTAATCCACCCACTAAAACAGCAAAAAATTAAGCATTTTCTTTAGTTTACAATTTTTCACTTAAAACTTTTTTGGATCAGTGAACCAGTCTGAGATTTAATTAAACTATCGAATCAAACACCCAACTACAAATAAAAATATAACTTATCCACAATGTACTTTATAGCGGAACTTTTTGCATTTAACTCGAATTAAATATGGTGAATACTCTTTGCCATAGTTAATTAACCAAATAAACTTAGTATACAAAATACTGAACAAATCTTCATCAAAACAGACATCTCCCAAACATAACTTGTACTCTATCAGTGCACGTCAAAGTCGTTAGTTTCACAATTCTGTATCAAATCAACAATGAGAAATTACAGCGATAAAAAAAAAAAAAATAGAGAACAGAGATGATCGTAGATGTGCATAGATACTTAGATATTCAAACTGATGATGAAGCTAAAGAAGAAACGAGAGAGTACCGGAAATGCAGGCAAGGAGATGAGAGAAGCAGCCGTTGAGGGGAAGAAATCGTCTTTTTAGACTTTATACGTTAAGAGATGCAGAAAAACCCTAGGAAAAAAACCACTTTGACCCCCAACCTTTGATGCGTATTGCAAAGTAGTTACCAACTTTCAACTATGAACTTCTAAATCCCTAACTTTTAAAATTCAAGAGTGTACAATCGTTCTTTCCTCTAGTACTTTTAGGGTTCGTTTGATTGTAAAAATGGAATTGAAAACTAATTTTAGAGAATTGAATTGCCTAGAAATTATTTTCTTAGGAATTGTAAATTATTGTGTTTGATTGGTATAACTTTTCAAGTGAAAAATGTTGAAACAAAAGTATTTTTGGTGTTCGTTTAGCTTTGTTTTATATGAAAATTATTAATTTAAGGGACAGATTTTACTGGTATTAGGGATGCAATTTGTTTCCACTGCCAACCCAAAAAAAAATCAAGAAAATCATCTATCTTTTGTGTGTTCGTTTAGTTTTGTTTTCCATGAAAATTGTCAATTAAAGGAAAATATTTTTTTACAATTATTCTTAGAATTTATTTCCATTGCACGAAAAAAAAAGTTGGAAAAATTTGGAAAAAAAAACCGCTATAGTAAACCGGAATTAGAATTCCAATTCAAGAAAAAATAGGAAAATGGCTTAGGTGGCAAGAATCATGGAAAATGAATTCCCTAAAAAATTTTACCTATCAAACACTCATTTTTGACAAAAGGTGGAAATGAATTTCCATTTTTCATGAAATTGGAGGTTATCAAACACTACTGAAATGCCTCAGATATGCAAAAGATAGTAGCTATTATCCAGATTAATTACATGGCGTACAAATGGCAAAAGGGTCCCACGTTGAACGACTCGAAATCTATTGATTAATTGGATTGGGTCAATTAAATTAAGTAATTCATGTTAGCTTGGTCTCGGCCTGTTAACTCGATGGTCCATCTAGATCCATTCCCTTCTCTATAAATATACTGTTGGAAAATAAATATTTTAAATTTTAAATTTTCAAATTAATACATATAAATTTGTTGTTTCTATTTTAATATTTATTTAATACAAAATTAAATCAATAATATTATAGTGTAACATACATGTTAAATGACTTAATTCTTATTAGTGTGGGGGTTAAATTTATTTATCCCTATAAAGGGGAATTATTTTATTGAGATGAAAAACACAATTTGAAAACTAAAATACAATAACTTGAAGTATTATTCTTTGTACAATTTTATACTATATTCATACTATTTTATCAACTCGATGAAAGACACATTCTTTATCTACCTATGATCGTGCTTATAAAGGGAAGGTCGACTGTGAGTCACATAGATTTTATTTTGAAACCGTGTATTGTCGAAAGAACTCATACGAAGAGGAGGCAACTCGATTTATAGGACAGCATCTTCGATGACTCTCAAGACTTACATTCTAACTCTTTTCTTATTATTGAATATATATATATATATATATATTGAATTATGTTTATATTATTTAATTGATTATGTTAATTGATAATTTATCTACACGCAAATCACTCATTTTTCTGAACATATACAAGGTTATTCCACACTTAAAGGTAAGTTTTTACTTCATATAGCCAAATCCTCCTCTACTATCTTTCTTGCACTCTATATCTTTTGGAAGGCAAACGATCTTTTTCTCGATCGATGATCTTGTAAGTATTATGCCCTAAGTCCAATCAACCTTAGACATAAATACTTTTGAAATATAATTAATGCAATTTAATGGCAGATCTATTATTTAATTAATTTATTTAATTAATAGACAATTAAATAAATAATAGAGTCCGTAGATTCAAATTTTTGTAATTTGTTAATCACAAAGAGTTGTGATTGTGAGATACAAATTACATATGATTGAATCTTAAATCGTCCGTGGTCATAAGTAATAATGAGATACAGATATCATTATTACGGATAGACCATCACGTATGGCATTTCTTACTTGTGAAGTAAGTAGCTGATCTCATAAGCTAAAGTGTGGCGGCACTTAAATGAACACATGGATGTTTTGTTATAGAACAAAACATTGAAGACCCACCGAGAGATTCCACATGGATAACTATCTGAGTGTCAGTGGTTAATCTCTAATGTTCGGTAGTGGGATTGGTCCTTTGACTTGAGGTCATCATAGTATTTTATATGAGGACAGTCATGCTTTGACGGTGTTGGATGTTGCTCTGTCAAGGGCAGCTAATATAACATCATTCAGGTATATCAAGAATCCTATGAAAGTTGTGAATGACCAATAAAGGATTCGTCACTCTTAGATGATAGGAGATTATGATCTGCGTTTCATTCAATTAAGTCGATAATGAAATTCTTGGCCAATGTGTACTCATAAATCGAAAATGAGTTTTCGAATTTTAATATTTATTTAATACAAAATTAAATTTATGACATTTTTAACTAATTAAGTGAATTTTTACTTTATAATTTCTTTTTTAAATATAATTAATTTTTTAGTTATAATCCTTTTTTCACCTGTAAATAAAATTGAACTTAGCAAATTTTATACTTACAAGTGATTTTTCAAGTTTTCGATTTTTCGTATTTATACATGCGTTTATATTTTTGCTTGATAGAAAATGATAGTTGTGAAGAATGAAATGTTTGAGGGGTAATTTTTAGAAAAGTTGAAAAATTCTTCCTATTTTCCACAATGGCCTTTTTTGTTAAAAATAATATTTTGCCCTTACTAAAGTTATTTGCAAGATGTATCTTATATCTTTAAGGATTTATCAATCAGGACTTATATCTATATTTTTCAATCTTTCGAACACCTTTAGATATTCTTTATATCTAGATAGTTCTTCAAAGATTATAGGTTGACCTTTCTTGGTTATATATTCTCAAACTAATCCTTCTGAGATTTCTTTTTGTATATTTTTATGTTTGGTTATGATATCTTCTACCTTCCTTATTTCTCTACTAGTTCCTACAGAATCAAATCCTATATTATTTTTACAGTTATAATATATATCTCTATATATTTCTTCAATTTTTTCTTTACCAACAGGAAATATATCATCAGATTTTTCGTCTAATTTAAGTAAAAACGAAACATCTTTTTCATCTAAAAATAATATGAGATTATTATCATTAGTGGATGTGGATGCTTGTGAATTGTTCATCAAAATAATTAAAACATAAGCATGTAAAAATAAGTAAATAACTTACAGTAATCAAGTGAAAATAAACAGGCTTTCCCTCTAGTATGCTCTTATAGATGCTTTGCATGTACTTTATCAATCTTCTGAATCAAGTAAAGATTTAAAATATTTTTGAAATCATTTGGGTCCACAACTATTTCCGCAAAAGGCTTTTCAATTAAGGTTGCATTTCTCACTCTAGAGAACTAGCCGTGTTGCCACAGACGCTATCTCACAGTACCCAGAGTCTCTGTTTTCACCTCTATCCAAACTCTTTTCAGAATGAAATTCTTACTTGGAACGAAATTTTAAAAGATAACTCACACACAAGGTGCTACAAATTTTTGTTAGAAAACTGCCTTTTTTCCCCTAAACCATTCATCAAAGACGGGTACTTTGGCATGACTAACATCTATTCAAAATCAATGTTTTGAAAATCTTTTAAAATATCTATCTGTACCACCGAGGAATCATGAGAAACTTAACGAAATCCTTTTATGAAGGCTTTGTTGAACATAACAAACTTTACTTTGATATTCATAAACTAAAATTGTACATGCTTACAAACTATATTTACATACCTTTAGTACTCACCTTATGCAGTTTAGAACTCCATAAGTGATTACCTTATTACACGCTTTACTATTTTCAAGCTATCTAATATTTTTCTGAATACAAGTGGTGTATACAGATTACAAAAGATCTATCTAAGATGTGTTTCCTCTAAGTGTTTTAGAGATAAGCTATTTCGAGATATCTCCATTCTTCCTCCTTGCCTCCTTTTATAGAAGTCTTTGGAAATCTTATCTTGACAGATATTTTTCACCTTTCTTTGTTGAGTAGCTAGGCCATCTTATCTCCACCGAATTTTTCCATTATCTTCTTGCTAGTGGACCTCTCATTTTGTAATTAGATGCCTTATCTTTTGAGTTTGTCTGCCACTTGTAACAATTGGTGGGGAGAAGTCATAATTATAGAGACTTTTCTTGCACTATCTTCTGTCTTTTAGTAGCCACAGTTTTTCTTTAATAAATTTCTTTATTAAAGTAGTGATAAAGGGCTACTTTTGTCACCATCACTTTTCCATTTTCGAATCAAAGAATTCTGCAGGGAATTCTTCACTATTAAGAGATGATTGGCTCATATCTTCAACTACACAGTATTCACAATGGTGATCACTGTAATTCCAGAGTAATTTGCATAGTTCTTTAGCCATATCTTCTGATCCATGTACTTGGTTGGAAATAATTGCAGATAATAAATGGTCGAGATAACAAATATCTTCTTCTTTGGTGGCCATCCTTGCATTGGAATAGATAATATAATCTTCAGATGGATAAACCCATATTTTTTCTTTCTCAGTAATTATCTGAGTTACATGTTCAAATATTTCTTTGTATCATTTTGCTCTTCTGTAGTGCATCATATTTAGAATATCTTGAAAACCATTTTTAACAACCTTTTGATTGGTTGGTAAAAAATGTTGATTTGTAAGTCCCATTTTTATCACATGGAACGATGAATGCATATATTCAAGAACAGGATCATATTCCATGGTTGTTGAATGGAATCTGATATATATATTTGTTATCTTGATGACTTCAGTATATCTTTTAACAGCTTTCCTGATGTTGGCTGGAAGTTGAGCTATCTCTTTGAGATCTTTGCTAGAATATATACAAAGTATATTTCCTATCTCAAAACAATTTCGAACTCAGTTGGCTGGTGCTCCTGGATAAAAATTTATCTTGTTGTATTTTGAGTAGTGGAGAGTCTTCATCCACTTTCCAATCTCCCGATACCAATCTGATAAAATATTAAAAATAACAATAAAAAGTGTTACTTATTCATGGTTATCTTTTCTGGGAATTTTTGCTTCATGACATATCTTGA